CTTTCTGCACTCTGCAACTGTAACATCTTCTGATGCATGAGAGATACGGATTTATTCATTGCAAATAGCTAATTGATTGATTGAACCAAAGCATAACAAGTTGGATAAAGAAATCTTTAGTTGGGGGGCAGAGTTCATAGTGTTTGTGTTAACACATTGTGCAACATACAATCCTATCAAGATTTTAAATGAAAATGGACAAATATAAAATACTGTCTTCCTGGCAATCTGTGGTTTTATGGGCTCTTTAAAGGGTTTTTTAACCATAAACAAAGACATTCTTTGAAACTTTATCCATGGTTTCTTTTTTCATAATCTCTGGTTTTCCACTGCATATCCAAGCACAGTTATTTCAAGTGTTATCACATGACTATAATACCTTATACGGTATGTAAATATGTATTATTTTTCATTAATTTTTAAGCATGGTGAATTTCTTATTTGAATAATGTATTTATACACATTTTATCAGATTTTTATCAAACAGTTAGAGATGCACTGATGACCAAAGCATTTGTCATTTTCATTTTTTTTTCATTTTTCTTCTGCGAATCTACAGAGTAGCACAGCTGAGACATCATTACGGCTCAAGCAGACCTAGCAGAGTGAAAGCTCCGCCTGCAACCACCTGCAAGCTGACATCTTGCTGTTTAGACCCTCATAATCCACTATGATTGCAGGATTTTATTTGTGGCTGCGCCGCAGTGTGAGAGAACCAAGGGGTCAGTGAGCTGAAAGACAGCAGCTGGCAGCTACTTACATTTATATGGATCCTTAAAATCCCACACAGTCACACACCAAAACAGCCAAATCCTCAGAGCTCCTCAACGAAAGAAATGTTTTTAAAACTTTAACTACATGCACTACTGCAGAGCAAAGATTTAGTCACTGGCATAGTTACATAATGTATAAGCATTATGCAGTCCTTGGAAGTTCTTGTTACTTTCTTCTTGGGGCATGCAATACTGATTAGAAATTATAAATAATGTAGTTCATTTTGTTTTATTTTCAGCTAGTATTTAAAAAAACTTCAAGCTATTAATTACAACTTCCCACATTTAAAAAAAAAATCATAGAAACATAATTATTTTTTTTGTAATCCTCTTTGTTAGTTTGTAACTAACAAAAGCTGACTTTGAGTAGAGACTTTCATATGATTTGATTTCTTATGGTTGATTTTAAAGATACAATACATAAAAATATGAATATACAACATAGAAACCTTTATATCTGGTACTCACAGGTCTATAGGCTTCTACATGATTAGTGAATATGTATCCTCTTAATAGATCACCATGCAGGGTGGATGTTGAATGATCCCTGTTCTGTAGCAGTGTCCCCTGATGGCAGATTAAATACATCTAACCCTTGATTGTCTGTATGACACTTGTACTAAAGCACCATCTTTACTTGCAAGGCACTACTTACTCCTCTCACATTTGACACAATGCAAACTAGACACCTGCAATGACTCACTATCACCTCTTGAGATATGACAGTATAACAAGACAGGACAGAGCCAAGGTTATCCTGTTAGTATGCTCACGTCAATAGATATCCCTGCAACACAACACACAGATGCCTTTGACGTGATGTCAGAAGGGTTTCAAATTTTAATGGTAACGTTGTCTATTTTTATGGAACATTTAAACATGGAAATCTTACTTGCTATACCTTTAAACTCATGTGTAGAAAACTCATGACCAGAAAAATTGAAAAGTGGGTCATTTTTTAGTGCCAAAACATAATTAAGTATCCCAAACTGTCCCATCTGTACCCAGCCTCATTAATTATTACTTTTCCCCAGCCTCAGTTATCCCATTTTCAGTTAACTATTCATAATCCCTGTAATGATTAACAATATGTTTTGGGTTAATCTCTTTGTAAGGGAGGAGATTTTTTTAGAGATAATGCAAAATTCTTCAGCTGAGTGTGTTATTAAATACTTTTATTGACGTCCACAGTTTAGAATTGCTGAGGTCTGATGTTGTATTGACAGAATTTTTCTTTTTCATTTCAAACCGTGAAGCTCTAACGAAGGCCCAGATTCACCAATGAATCTCTCTACCTTTTTTGTTGTATATTTTATTATTTCTTTCTAACTCCTGTGGCAAATGATCAAGAAAATGTCAGTGTTCATCAAATAAAAGCAGACCATTTCAGTTAATGTAGCTCTTATTGCTAAAGCTAATTTGTTGACCTTGTTATTTGCTTGGGTTTTAAGAAATTATATTGAAAACATACCCAAAAAAGTTTAACAAACATAAACAAAAGCACAGAAAGCAGTAAGTGAAACAGAACAGAAACAGTAAATACTAAACCTGGAAATATAACAACAGTGAATGAAAATGGATGGATGGATAAATGTATGGATGGATGGATGGATGGATGGATGGATAGATGGATGGATAAATATATGTATGTATGTATGTATGGATGGATGGATGGATGGATGGATGGATGGATGGAAGAAAAATAAGCTTCATTTAGTTTAGTTTTTTTTTTACTTCAGCTGAGCTTTTTCGCATTCCTAGTACTGCTCTCCATAAACAATGCACTGGTTGGTCTTTTCTCACATACTGTACTTACACGCAGACATACTTAGCAAAGCTTCCCTGCCTAAATGTGCCATGTGTATTTTATCCGTGGACATTAAACAAAGATGATGTCTGCATTCAGTGTTTTTCTTTTTTTAACTTTGCAGAATTGGTTCTGTGTTCCTCTGACCAGTGATGGTAGTGTCACACAGTCTGCCGCTGATCTTCATGCACATTTCAGACAAAAACGATGTCCACTTATAAAAAGATAATACTAACAATACTAACCATGACCACAAACCCCACAAGGTGGCTTTTAAAATCTGTTTTGTGTGCTCACAGGTGTAGGTTTATAAGTTCCAGTGCACCCATTGTTAGTATCACAAAAGAAATGGTGGCTTTGAACATATCAATGGAGGATTTGGGTCATTGTAAGTTTGCTTTTTATGTAGGATGAAGCTGTTAACACAGTAGATGAGTCCTTGCAAGAGAAGAAATTGACAGACATTCTTCACTTCTAAATCCTGCCTTTAGTGACAATACAAAATGAGCCAAATACTGCAGTGTAAAGTCTAAGTTCTAATAAGACTGTGTTTGGGGCTGTGGGATGTTAGAACAGGAAAATAGCAAACTTATTTGTTTGAGCCAGATAACATTCATCATAAAAGACCAAAGTGAAATGTGAAAGTCTGCCACATTTCACTTTGAAATGAGCTATTCCTCATTTCGAGAAGATTTAACTGATAAACATACTTCTTTGACAGGTTTACTCATGTGGAAAATGTGTCACTTTGCAGACTGGGTGACACTGAAAGGCAATAAAAATTGTATTTCTTGAAAAATTAAATCTGTTTTAAATGTGTGCAACAGCTATGTTAAAGTCTATCACAGTGTACTAATACATTTCATACTTTCAGCTGGAAACTGTCTGTACAGTAATAGCATGTTCACAAGAGAACAAACAGTCTTACAGGCCCTGCATGCCAGCTCAAATATCCACCTGCAAGCTTTGATATTCAGTCCAATGAGCCCTGGAGTTACAGTTTATCAACTTAATCCATAAGCATATGTGTAAGGTGTGAGGGGTCCTGTGCACCCCTTTGCTTTTAAAACCTGTCTTACAAGCACACAGCACATGTACTCCAGCAGGCTGAGGGCCAGTGCCAGTTTTGCGTTTTGTGGGTGAAAGGTACAGAGAAACAAAGACTACCTATCAGTTGTCCTTCTTGTCTCTATTGAATACTGAGCTTTTCACAGAGGAACTAATTAACATGGCAACTTGTACGGCAGTGCAGTTCTTCCACCATTCAGTCTGTATCCCATTTGCATTTAAGAGCTGTTTGAAGGCAGTAATTCAGCAAAATAAAACCTTGGTTCTCTTCAGAACGCCCACATTAGCTCACCTACAGAATTGGAAGCTCCTTTCAACTTCAGGCTCATAATGTACACATTTTAACGCTGGCACATTTTCTAGCTTTCTAAATGTTTATTCAGCTAAAAAAAATCTTAAGGCTACGACTATGAAAATTCAATAATTCTTATAGTTATTACAGTTTAAGGACAAAAAGCTGAGAATTCATTTGCAATAAAAACTTCTGAAAATCAGTGTTGTTAAAGAATGAGACTTATAAATGAAACATTTTATTTAAATTAAACAAAAAATAGACTTCAGAACAAAAAAACATACAATCTACACACTGGTGACAAACGAATAACGCCTCGACCTTTACAGCGAGAGGAATCGTTGGCTCTGGTGTGTTGTAAAGCATTTGCTGGGTCCACGTGACCCCTAAGATTGAAAAAAATATGCATATAAATCAGGACAAATGATGGCAGTGGCGCCCACTAGGATGGCAGTGCCCCAATACATAAGACATCAGCGATCGATGAATGGTGTGGTATAAAAATAATGTGGAAATGTAAAATATGGCTGTTATCACCGGCTCTCAAACCAATTAACGCTAATGATGAGTCTAGCATCTCTTACACTTGGTCGTAACAGCTGTTAAACTGTGATTGGTGCCTGGGAGTAGTGACATCATTACTGGCTTAGATTACAAATTATTTATATGCCTGTGAGAAAAGAAGGAAAACAATCTGGATTGTGGAATAACCCAAAAGGGTTATCCTGACAAAATTGTTATTATTAGTATTATTTTTACATTGATTAATGGTACAGCCTACATATAGGATTCTAAGTTGTTCATTTTTATTAAACAACATTGAAATATTGTCATCTAAATAAATATAATTTATCTACAGTCATTCGTGAGTTAACATCTGAAAGGAAACTTCCATATAATTATAAGTAAAATTTTATGTCTTTATAATCAGCGGGCCAAGGCGACAGGTGTATTATATTAATCGATCCAAATTGCTAAGGTGAAGCCAAATGACAGCGACACCGTGAGGTCACAGGGGATGGGAAAATGGTAGGAGGAGGAGTATGGGTGCGCACAGCTCGGGTTTTTTGAACGGGCTCTAAAGCAGCGGTGTAACCGATCCCAGCTGCTACTGTGTGAGGAATTGAGAGCTATTCCCGTCCCCCGTATGTTGATCACGTGTCCTTAGGGGACGTTTGCTTTGGGGATCACTTTGGGAGGTAAACGCAGCGCACCGGTGCGCGTAGCCAATTTGGAGAGAAACATCCTTAATAATAATCGTAATGATCCACCGGAGGATCAACCGGATCACTTTTGTTTCGGGGCGTTGTCATACACCCTGTACACTGGCTTGCTTTACACAGATCAGTAAGGGACTGGCACTCTTTGTGTGCTCCGTGACTCACTGACTTGTCAAAACTTCTGCGCTTACGAACCGCGATCTTTACTGCGAGCATCACATTGTTGCCATCTCCTGCAGCGAGTCGACGTACGGAGCTGTCACTGCGAGCCGAGGTAGGCTGTGTTTCCTTTATGTGTGTTGTTTTGGCGGAATAGCGAGAGTAACATGCACGAGAGTGCACACACTGGCTAGGAGCATGAGTTAGTTTGTGGAAGGCGCACGCTGTGCAGTATTGTGGGTTCCAGGGTTGCAACAGTGTAATGATCCATGTCAAATGATACAGTAAGTGTATGACTAGCTCTTATCTGTGTACAGAAACCTGCATCATGAAGACGTGTGTGAATGTGTGCCTAATCTTCTGCTTCGAAAAAGACGGTGAGAGAAAACAAAAACAAATGCGCTCTTGTACGTCTGTGGTGGGCAAATATTATGTCAGGGACTTAATGCAAGTGTTTAATGTTCACAGTGGCCTGCAAATTTATTCTCAAAAGTTTTTAAGAGTGCTAAAATTTCTGCACCCCTGTTGACGATGTCGCTGTTGAATATTCTGAATGAACTCTTGGAGTTTTGGAGTGGATTATATTAAAGACTGGTGAACATGCTTTAGCCTTTATGCTCTCATCAGTTTAGCCATTGTATACTACAACACAACATTAGAACCACTACTACAGCTGAAGCCTATGACACTCATCGTCCAACTACAATGCTGTGCTCTCCTGGGAAATCTTGGTTTCTGGCATTTATGTGGATTGGATGTTATTTTTGATATGTACCCACCTAAACGTTGAAAAACAAGGCATGTTTCATGACAATGGCGCTCCCAGATGGCAACAGCCTCCCCCATTGGAACACTTGCACCCCACCACACCACAAAAAACAGTTCAAGAACGATTCTAGGAATGCGACAGAGAGCCCAAGGTTTTGACCCGGCCTCCAAACTGCCAGATCCCAGTACAATAAAGCATTTACAGGATGCCCAGAACAAGCCTGCTTCTCTGAGACTCCACTCTTAAACCAGCAGGAGGCAAATGATCCACTTCTAATGTCCTGGTGCTTTTTCACACATGCCCATGTCTCAATCAGTTGCAGCTGTTTTAACAGCACAAGGTGGACTTGCACCACACTGGGCAGGTGGTTTTAAGTTTAAGGATGACTGATGTAGGAAAACGGGGACTAACCTGAGCTGACTCCCAGCCACGCCCTGCTGCTTCCAAGCAGCATTAAGAGAGGCAGTTTCTCATTTTCCCCCCAGAAAGATTAAAAGGAGATTTTTTTTTAGGAATACATATAAGGTCGATTTTCTGAACAATCGCAGGAACACCAGTTGTCAAGTCTTGAATGTGTTTTGATTTTATGTGATGAAAATTTCATGTTATTAAATAAAAATGCCAAACTAGTCCAGCAGAAGGCACAAACCAATGCTGTCACCACAATCCTGCTAATAAATGTAATATGAATCCTGCAGAGTCCCTGTTGTGATATTAGACTGTCAGCCTGGTTATTGTGGAAACAGTGCTGCAGGTGACTGTAGAGGGACTCTGGCTTTGCCTTAAGAAAAGTGTAAAATGTCAGCCCCTTATCAATAATGCAGCACGCCAAAAACAGTGGGGAGTAAGAAAATGGAACCCACTGTTAGAGACAGTTACCTAGTGCTTCATCATTATTCACATAATTGTATAACAAATACTTCATCAAAATCTACTTGGAGTAATTACCAGCAATGCAAATGTTTCCATTCTAATCCTAGTGCACAACCAAAACAAACCCATATGATGAGCTTTAATGTGCCATATCTTGTCACGCTGATCACCAGTGAAACAAATTTAATGTCTATTACAATTTTTTTTTCTTTTTAAAAATGGTGGTTCATCTTATAAAAATGATTTATTTCCCTGCTCTCTTACTGCCTGTCTTGTTAATGCATGATCACTGTGGTTAATGAGACAGGTCTCAGTGCATGGGGACTGACAGTTTCAGAGACTGCACTGCTAGTTGGGTGAACACAACTGACACCCTCATTCATCATGCATCCACGGGGTGCTGCTTGCTCTCCTAGTCTATCCACGCTGCGCTTCTCTCCCCTTGTCTTAGTCGAGTCTCGAGTTGCACCCTCAGATGATAATTATTAAGACATTATACTGATGACAATAGCAGTGCTTTTTTTTTCTGTAAAAGAGACAGGGAGTCAGCTTCTACGTGCTGGGATGATTATAACTGTGAAAGAGGGTTGGCGTTTGTTGTCGAGGTTGCAGCTGCACGATTTCCAAGAATAGATGTAAATACCAACTGTACAGTAGTGTACCTGTTTGTTACTGCTGGCAGCCAGTAGCTAATTGTGAACTAGCCAGAAAATCAAAAGCTGACTTGTCAAATATGCTTTTTTTTTTTTTTTTTTTACGAATCTGTGATAATACTTTATATAAAATGAATATGAAGATGTTTTTCCCCACATTTTTGTAACCAAATAAATGAAAACAAGTCTACATTCTTTTGTGCTGTGCTTCATCTGTGTTTAAAATATGTTACCTGACCTGAAGCAATAATATAAAGGTGCAATTATGAAAGCATTATTAATCTCACTAATCCCGATGGCGTGCCATGGTGCAATTTTAAAATGTAAGAGATGTAATTAGCCCACATATACCATAATTACTGAAGTCTTGACTAAAATTTGTAAGCTTGCATATTGCAGTATCTCTGAGATTTACTCTATTAAACTTTGATGCTTGGGAAAAATCGAATGAAAATAGCAAATAGGTGAATCCCAGTTTTGTGCGTTTGTCTGCAGCAGCAGCTGCAGTCCTTGAATGTCACTGTTCACAATCATTGTTTGCATAGGGAGGTTCTCTGTACATGTAAGTCAGCTTATCCCCATAGAGCAATGAGGCAGAAAGGATATACAGCATGGGGATGTTTTTACTGAGGTCTGTCTGTCAACACACTGGTGCCTGAATGGGTCTGAATAATCCATATCTTTAAGAGTCCACTTGGCTATCACAGGGTCTGTCTTAAGAGCAGGAGGGTCGTTTGAGGATTGCGGCTCTAGCTTCCCATGGAAAAAAGGCTTTCTTGTGAAGAGGTGGCTCATTAATGTGTATTTTTGTGGCAAATTGTGCGTGTTGTAGTAGCCAACATGTATATTGCCTCTAAAGAAATGAATTAATTGGCTGGTTATACTCTCAGGATGTTAATGTAATATCGCTACAATTAATGCCATTATCTGTAGACGTAAACTCGATTCTTATAGATAAATTGGAAAACCTACATGGATAATGTGCTGTAAAATGTTTGTGGGAGCGCTCCAGACACCTTGGTTTTCATTGATCTAACACTTCAGGACACAGACCTAAAATCTAAGGTTTCTGCTTCTCTCTCCATTGCTGACAGGATTTTCCTTTTGGAAAAACATCCAAATTTATAATAACAGGCAAAGCAGATTTTGATCTTTTCAAGAGTACCTTCCTTCGTGACATTCCTCCATTTCATACATCAGATTATATTGGCAAGACACCAGAAAAATGCAATTTCCCTGCAATTTCACTCCTTATCTCACAATATTATTTTGCTTTCAGGTCTAATAGAAATACAATTATATTTGTAGTGCAGAATCGTGGGCTGCTCCCTGATCTTCTGTTTGAGCTGCGTAGAGATTCCTTCAGCATGCTGCGGTAAATACAGACCAAAATAAAAACAGTCAAAGCCACGTTTACTTCTTGTCTTAACTGAACAATAGGCAATTTCTCCAGCCTTCTTACAAGTGCTGCCTATTGAGTAAAAGCCAGCTGTGTTTACATATTTGCGTGCCAAATAGATTCATGCCTGCTTGCATCTGTGGTCCCCTGTGCGAGTTTGGATGTTTGTCTGTAGACACTTTTCTTATCCAAAAGATGGAAATTGTGACAGTGTGACAGAATAACCTCGGGTAGGCAGGATGCAACTGACGCTACACTGAACAGCACCACAGGTATCTCTGCCAACACAACGGCAACAGAACACTACAGCCTCCAGTCAACATCGCAGTTTGCCTTGCTACTCATCGGGGGTTTAATATTCAATTATGAGGGTCCTCCAGTTCAAGCTGTGCTGGATGGCTTATGGAAAAGCCTCGCTGATTGATGAGTGGGCATCTTAGCTAAATAAGCTCTCAGTTTGCCCCTGAAGGAGAAAAGAAACAAGACAGATGGCTTGTGGGGGTGTTTTTAACTGACGTGGCAGAGTTTTTTTTGTAGCTTTGCCTTATTGGTGAATATGTGTGGTAACAGAAGCCTTATCGCCAGTGTCCAAACAGATCAAGCCTTAAGTGAAGTCATAAAGTGCTTTCCTTTAAAATACTGGTTTTGATGACTAGTTCTTTAAACCAAAAAATATCAAAGAATGCGTATTTGAAAAATGAATCTTGGAAGGTTCAAAAGTTGAAAGACGTTTAGTTTTTTCTAAATGCTTGCCGAAGGGTACCATGACAGTGTCATCCCACTGCCTTTCTGTTTTAGAACTGTGACAGCCTGTCAAACTGTCATATCCAGCTGAGTCCGAGGATGTGTAGGTCTAGCAGTGTAGTGCTGACAAACAAGCAGACAGAAAAAGTGGTAGAAAGGGAGAGAGATACAGGCGGTTGAGCATTTGCTTAGGCACACAGAGGGGTGAGTAGCTTCTCCTCTGTCATCTCATGGCAGATCACATTCCTCAGCAGTCAGGTATTTGGACCTTGCCAGTGGGCTGTTTTGTTGGCTGAAAGCTGGACCAAGCTGTCAGTCAGATTAGCACTGTGAGCCACTGGTGGGAGCGCAGTCCTATCCTCAGGGGCACAGCCATTTCAAAGATCTGTAAATCCCCAGCACTGAGCATTCACACACAAACACACATGGGCGTGCGCAACCCCCACCCAAGAAATGAGGGACGAGATCAAGCCAGGTCATGGGAGGCTCTTTCCAAATAAAGTGTTCTTTCGGGAGACTGCTGCCTTCTCCGTGCCCTTCATGCACATGTGCATGCATTTATCCTCAAACACCCACACAGTCACACACATACACACACACACACATTCTCCCTCCTGCCTCCTCCAAATGGGGACAGCAAAAGCTCTGGCACATGGTTGGCTATCCAGTATCTATGG